ATTAAGTAAATCATTTGCTTTTCACCTGTTTTATTAAGGTAAGGAGCGCACCAAAGTTACAAGTTAGCCTAAGCACGAGCATTTAGTATGGTAATTAATAAACAATTGTTTTAGCAGTGAGACTGATGATCTGTCGCGCATACCTATACATTATTTGAAATGATCCGTTTTGAATGAAGAGTGTAAATGTTTACACACTACCAGCTGTGCGCATTTAATTAGAAGTTTTTTGTCGCCTGTCAAAATCTACAATGCACATCAAATGTAACATTTTTGCACTCTGACAAAAGCCCTGCGTCGGTATGTTTAGCGTGTTAGAGAGCAAAGGCAATAAGGAAATAAATGGCTTCCCTGCACTTTAAAATAAATCACCCACACATAACATTAAATCATCTCTCCTTCCGTGCATTTCACTTTTCTTGTCGTATATCTCCAGACTATGTGGGTAAAATTCACAACTGTTCTGCCGCGATGTTGGATTATTCAGTGACCTGAATGTCATATTAGGGGAGATTTAATTTCAGTAAATATTACTGCGGCATACGAACCCGCTGTGCGCTGAAATGGTCCTGATCCGTGAAGCGTTACTGCGCCGACCGTCGCTGCATTAGAGTATACCTGCATAACTCAGACTTCCAGCAGCGGAAAAAAATGAAATGAAGCGGCACTTCAAACTAAAGACATTGTTTCGGGACGTGAAAACTGAGAATTAGGAACCTTGTATTGATGTGTTGATATGGCTACATCAGTTTTTGTATGATGACTGTAGTTTGCGAATCCAGAGACGCGTGGTTATGATTTCACTGTAAATGTCCAAAAGTGTCTCTGCGGGAGTTGTTTATCTTGAAAATAATCCTTTGCAGGGTCAGGGAGATTGCATGTTATTTCATCAGAGAAAGATGGAGTGTTGTAACAAGCAGTTCTGTTCTAGACAAAAGTTTTGAAAGCTTTTCTTGCAGCATAGTTATTCAAAAGGACGTTTATTGGTGATTTTTTTTTTACTGATAGAGGTCTGAGTTTGATTGGTTTATATTGTGCTTACAAACAGACCGCGAGGAACAATTGTGTGGTAAATTATAAAGATTTTACTAAAGAGATTTGGATTATGATAATAAGTGGAATGAGGTTTTCAGTTTTTCTGTGGGTGACTTTAGTGCAGGGGTCTCCAACTCCGGTCCTGGAGAGCTACTATCCAGTAGGTTTTCTATCCTACCTGGCTTCTGATGAGCCACACCTGTTCTCAGGTAAATACCGGGGCCAGGTGTGGCTCATCAGAAGCCAAGTAGGATAGAAGACCTACTGGATAGTAGCTCTCCAGGACCGGAGTTGGAGACCCCTGCTTTAGTGTGAAATGTCTGAGTAACTCGCTTTTCATCAGGTTGAATGTCTGCATTGTAAATCCTGCCCACAGTGGGACTCAGAACTTTGTTCCTCCTGTTATTTGATAATAGCATTACATTGTGTGTGTGAAATTGTATGTGTACTTTGAAGAATGTGTACAGGGTGAATGTTATGTAGTTAAATGTATGGCTACTGCGTGGGTGCTGACGTAACATTGACGATATTCCCAAATGACCCAATCAGTCAAGGCATTTACGGGTAGAGGTTGTTCTATATTGTCTTTTTTTATGAGACGTTTTGCATGGAGGCTTTTGGCTGTGAATCAGGCTGTGGAAACACAATTTATCGAAGTCATTTTTCCTGACAATACTATTATGAACAAGATTAGGAAATAATGAAGGAAATAATTTCCATGGAAATAAGTTGCCGTTTTTTGAATGGCCTTCTGCTACTTTGTTGTTCATCGGCTTGTACAGCCTCCAGCGGACCAAGAAGCCCTTGGTTTGGCCAAGATGTTTAGATTCCACGTTTGTTTCCTGTGATCCAGACGCTGAGCCTCTTCTGTGTGTAACTCCACCTCCTTCATGTTCTCCCTTTTGTGAACAGGAGCTGCCTTTTGCTTTGTGTCAAGTCTAGACAAGTCAGCTTTTTCATAGCATCCACATCCAAGAATACAGTGGCACAGACAGCAAGTGACAAAGGGAGGGTTTTGCATTGCTTGCAGCGTGAGGATGTGTGACTCAGCTGGTTAACATGCTGTTCCTGTAAGGTTGTGGGTTCAAAGCCCAGTGTTAACAGAGTGATTTTGCTGTTGGGTGCCTGTTAACCCTCAGCTTCCCCTTGGGCCGCCTGACTCTGTGTTCTCTCAACAATGCAGTTGTTCTCAATCCTGTTTCTGGCGCCTCCTCTGCCGGGATGTTTCCAATACAAACCTACACCATTCAAGCTTATATGGTCCTTAATGGGCTAATAATGAATGTGGCAAGTTGAAAGCACTGTGGGTTGGAATGAAAACATTCTGGCAGATGGGGCACCAAGAACAGGATTGAGAACTACTGCAATAATCTATGCTGCCCTGGGTAGAAGCTCCAGCTTTTATCCAGAACAGTGTGAAACAGGGGCGATGGACACAAAGGTTTATATGCATAGTGCATTATATCTGTAAGCAATAATAAATAACGCGGCAGGAATAAAATACAGTATCACCTGCTGGCCTGTATCTCCAGATGTTGCCTGGGATCTCACTGATTAAACAGCTGCAAACACATTCACTGGCTGGAGGAGGGCATTGGGTGTTTTTTGGGCATTCGTTGCAGATTGATCCAGATTCATCACGCGGGCAGCAGGCGCCAGAGGGATCCCGCCGTTCTCGCGGCCTCCGCGCAGAGCGGGACGTTGGGCAGAGGGTGCTGCGGTGCCCCTGTGCTGTCTGTCTCTCACTGTGAGGGGCACTGCACGTAACGGACACTGACCGGCCCCGTCTATGGATGTGCTCCTCACAGTGGGTCAAATGAATCAACGGTGAATATATTAGGAAGGTGTGGTCCATGCTGGCAGCTTTACTGGACTGTACTGGTATGAAATAACGGAACACTGCAGGGTCCTGTAGCTAGATTCCCGTCAGGGATTTGTGAGATTAGCCGGAACTGTGAATCAAGTTACAAACAGTTACCAAAGTTCACTATGCTGTTCGCTGTAGTCCTCGTGCATTTTTTGTGGTGCTTTTGTCACAAGTCCCCAAGCTCTGGAACAGAAGGTTATGGGGGAGCAGGCCAAATTTAACCAAACATTTGTGATTTACTTGAATCATCCCAGGACCTACCATAACAGAGAAAATAAGATTTAGTGCCACCCCACCCCCCAGAAAACTAAGTAAGGTTAGAGACCCCTGATCTACATTGAAGCAAACTTGCTGCACTTTTGTGTCATGCTTGCACTGCCCACCAGGGGACCCCCTAAGACCTCTGACACAATTCAAACAGTGCCCACCTAACTTACCCAAATGCCCACCACAGGATGGCATTCTGGTGACCCCACTGGCCTGTTAAACACGAGACCCGCGCCAACAGTGGAGCGGTATGGCCGCAAACCGCCCCTCGGGTTCCGGATGCCGGTTGGTTCTGTGTGGCCCCTCAGTATGGAGAAGCCCTCCTGACCAGTGGCACCTCACGCTGCAGTGTTTCAGTATCCGTGAATGTGGCTCGGCATGCTATCTCCACAGAGTTGTTGGCTCTTTGAGAGCATATTTATAAAGTGCCAGAACGAAACCCTGGAAACGTGCTTCACGAAGCATTCCGGCAGAACTGGCCGAAACCGGATTTTATAACTCTGTGACCCTGAGTGGCAGCCTGTTCCCTCCATTCTAAATTACTGCATATAAAAGTCATAACGGAATGCAAAAAAACTGACATGTGCCATGGTGGTACAGTGGGTGGCGCTGTGGTCTTGAATCCTGCTCCTGGCTCAGACTGCAGAGCCACCTAGAATCTGCATGGTTTTCCTACCACAGCTCTGAACCATGTGATTAGGTGTTGTGCCTAAATTGCCCCTTAACTGTGTGACCAGTGATGGACTGACATCCTGCTTTGTGCTCTGAGCTCCATGATGGATGGATGTTCAATCGCATCACAATCTGAAACTGCTAAATCGTACCTGTGGCACTGCAATGTGCAAGTGGCCTTCAGGTTTGCATTAGCATTTTGCTGTAGCTTTTACCCAAAGCAGGTCGTGATTTTTATTTTGATAATTTACTGGTGCATTTTCAGGTTAAATGCAATGCTTAAGGTTACTGGGACCTTAACTGGCAAATTTAAGAAAGGCCGTAGCCACTATGCTATCTGCTAAAAACTCCTGAGCTCATCTGAGGGCTCATGTGGGGAAAGGCATGCCAGATGCTGGCGAGAGGAATTGCAGTTGATTCTAAGAATATTCTGGAAAATCCCTGAGGCAGGCAAAGGCAGATGCTTCTGGATGCAGCTGTGAGACAGGGTGTGGAGTTTTGCAAATATGATCTTGCAATATTTACCCAGTATTTCTTGCTCCAGGATTTTAATCCAATACCCCCTTTTCAATTAGATTCCGAATAGTGGTTTGTACATGTGTTGATTGCCTTAACTAGTGTAGATGTTCAGGCGTGGAGAAATTGCTGAGTTTGGGGGTTCTTTTGCAGTGTCTCCAGTACTGCTTCCTAATGTGGTGCATAGTGGCCGTATTGGTTTAGGAATAGGTTTGAGAAACCCCACAGGCAATCAGAGCTGCGGGATGTCGATGATACCCTTGCTGAGGTCACCACTGACCGCTGTCATTCGTCACTTCGCCTGTCTGTCGGACAGCAGGCGACGCTGAGAGATGACGGCCTTTGGGGGCCTAGATGAGGAGTAGTGTCTGACAGCACCATCCATCCACCTCTCTCCCAAGCAACTAGGGGATGGGGAACTGAGTGAGGGTGTGTGGCTTATTAGGTTAGAAGGCTGTGTCTGGGCTCAGAAGGTTGTGGGTTTAAAGCCCTGGGTCATCAGTGATTTTGCTGTTGGGCCCCCGAGCAAGGCCCTTAATCCCCAATTTCACCACAGACTGTACCTTAGGTGAAAGTGTCTGCTGAAGGAATAAAATGTAAATGAGATTAGCAAGGCTAACAGACATAAGGACAGAAGGCACTGTTGTACACACACGCATATTTATTTACAAATATAACAATCGCATGTCGTCTGTCTTTCTCTTATAGTGCAGTACGATTCAAATGACTGACAAGAGGGATGGGAAATGTGGTATGAAAAGGTATTCAGGAAGAATTGTAGAATGTGAGACACGTCACAGCTCCGCTAGGCTACCCGACATCTTTGGTAGCAAGTGCAGGTCCAGAAAGTACAAATCCAGACCAAAATTTTGTTTCAACCAACCAGTTGAGCACTCTGGGAATGTGACCTTTTACTGCTCAACTGGTTGGTTGAAACAAAATCTTGGTCTGGATTTGTACTTTCTGGACCTGGACTTGCCACCTCTGCATCTTAGACTCTTGTAGTTTGACTCCTCGACCTTCCTGTTACTACTAAAAACTATTAGTCTCTAGACGAATTACAAATCGATCTGTTTTGTATTATTATGGAGAGCAGGCACCTGTCTGTGGTTAGACCATGTTATCTTGCATTCCTTCCACAAAGGAATAGACTCGTGGAACATTTGTGATGCAAGAGCAAGGTCCGTGCTGTCTGCAGGAAACCAAGGGGCAGTCGGAGTATTTAACTATGCGCTCATCTGACACTTAGTCCCATGTGGTGAAGCAGTGCTTCAGTTTGCTCATTAAAATATATAAACGCAATTCTTCACTTGACCCTCCCTGTATGATATCTATCAATCACATCATAATGGGTAGCTGCCTATTAACAGCTTCTTCACATTTTATATGTTATAAAATATAAATATTTAATGTCAACAAAATATTAAGACCGATTCGTTACCACGGTGATATATACATTTTTTAATATCCCAAATCTATGTGCTATTAAGTGCTGAGTAGATTAAAAATGTAATTATAAATTAACATCATTTATACGCTTAAAGACTGACCCAACTGGGGAAGTTTCATTATGACAGTCCTGAATCACTCTTAATAAAAAAAACGATTCTATGAAACTTGCCCTTCCATTTACTCATGTTCCTTACGCAGATACTCTGGTCACCCTAAGGTCTTGCACCTGAAGGGCTAACGTGGGTACAGTCAGGTGTTGGTGTTACCATGCGAGGAGGCTCTGCGTCTCCTCATATGCTGAGCTCCTCTTTCACAAGTCTGCCAATGTCTTTTTTAATGAACGTTATTGCTAAACCAAAAACCCTCATGCTAAGATACACTTGTTCCAAATAATACCTTAAACATGGTATCTAGTGTCCATTCACACAACAAAATATGTGCACACCATTCAGCTTTAAAAAAATGTCTCGGTGAAAAATGGATGAGTTTTATGAAATGGAGGAGACGATTCCTGGCTTTCACAATGTTTTTTCTCTCAGCTACTTGGGGGGGGGGGAGGGGGTATGTAGGTTAGGACTCTGCTTGGGAGCAGGTAGTCGTTGGTTCAAATCCTGTAGTCAGCAGAGAGATTTAATCTTTGGATCCTTAAGCAAGGCCCTTAACCCCAATTGCTTTAGGGATATTGTCTGACCCTGATCTCTCATATGTAGCTTGCACTGGGTAAAAGTGTCTGCTGAATGAATAAATGTAAATGGAACAAAGTTGTTGGTGGAAACAGACGGTGATCAGTGCAAATCTGTCTCTCGTCCCACTGCCCTTTCTTAAGCACCAGTATATAGTGTATCTGTAGAGCATGAACACCCACAGGTCTCCGCGGTACAGCTGTGAAACTAGTAGGTGGAAAGGCTGCTTCCAGATGAGAAGATGGGATCTGCTTCCCGGTGAACTCACTGCTGATGGGGGATTGGACGCTGAACATCTGGCAGCTGGTGTCCTTTCCTCTTCCCCCTGTTTGCAGAAGGCGAGTGGAGATGGGAGCCGAGGGTCACTTGAGTCTTGTTCCTTCTCTAGAGTTCGGTGTGGGCCTTCAACACAGAGGCGGAGCAGAACTGCAGGAACTGGCTCCTTATTCTACCACTCTGCAGCGTCCCATAACTGAACTCAGAAATTTAGTTCCTTAACTTAATAACTGAAGCCAGTTAATATTCTGATTTTTGTTCTTTACATCCTTTTTAAATTATAAGTTTTAAGTTGTATGTCCTATCCATCCATCCATCCATCCATCCATCAATCCATCCATCAATCCATCCATTCATCCATCCAGCTTCTGAAAGCAGTTAGCTCTCCTTTGCAGAAGCCCATTCCTGGGGAACATGCATGGGAAGGGGTCGGACCCTTAGAGAATCCAGCCTGGTGTCCCTGTGTTCATGTCTGGCAGCCTGTGTTAATTCAGGATGCTCCCAGCACAGTCCCTGGGAGATCCTGGTAGAAGAATTCGGACACCTGAATGCCAACACAAAGGAGGCCCTATGAAAACGGGAATGCTGTTATAGGGTTATAGGATAGGTCTTCCAGCTGGATCTGCCCTAATCCATTAGCAGCACTACTGACTACAGTAACGGCATTCATATACATGGAAATGTCTGTTCATTTGCGTTAAATGGGTAAATCCAAAAAAGTGGATATGGGGTATAGAGATATGTTTGTCTACTGAGAGTATAGCAATTCGCAAACTGGCTTACAGGCAGCAGTGCATTGCGGAGGCAGCGGGGAAAACTGATTGGCTTTGTTTGCAGTATTATCACAGCTATTCACAAGTCAGAGCTGTTATTTGTCTAGACATAAATAATTCAAAAGTGCCCCACCTCCACCTGAATTATTGAAATAATGTTTCTCCGAGCGTGAACGAGGCGGAGACTGGAAGTGCACCTCAGCCAGGCGAATCGCTCAAGACGCCCACTTCCGTTCTCCTGGTTTTAAAGGGAAACTGGCAGGTTTCTGGGCGGATATCAGGAATACCCCACTTTTTGGGGTTGAGATAGTTTGATGTGCCGGTATTGGGCAGAATCACCTGTTTGGGGTGGAAGGCCTCACCTATGATGTGTGGTTCTGCTGGGCTGACTGGTTCTGCTGTTGCTGCTGCTGCTGGATGAGCAACTGCTGCTGTTGGCGTCGCCGGGCCGTGCGAAGCTTTTCAAAGCGGGCCTCCATCTCCTCCAGTACCTTGGGCGTGTAGCGCACCACCAGCTTCACACTGTCCTTGGCTGCTTTCAGGAGCTCCACGGCCCTCTCGTGGTGCTCGCCCTCCACGCTCTGCCACAGGGAGGGGGTACTTAGCGCTCGGCTAATTACTAACGTTGCCAGTTAGCGCTCGGCTAATTGCTAAAGTTGCCAGTTAGCGCTCGGCTAACTGCTAACGTTGCCTGTTGGTGCTCGGCTAACTGCTAACGTTGCTTGTTGGTGCTCGGCTAACTGCTAACGTTGCCTGTTGGCGCTGTTGCAATGATGTCTAATTGATATGGAACAATAACTCGGCTATAGCACTTTCTAACATTTACCGTAAATAAGATTCATCTGATTTGTTTGTAAGAAAATCCTATTATTGTTAAGTGCCGTGCATGACTTTGCATGTAAATCCTTGTCATATTCAGCAGTCTGTTATGTTACGGACAGAGGACACATTAGTTAAAATCAAATGTAAGTGCATGTTTTCATTAATATCCCTCTAAAATCTGCATAAATGGAAAATTATATCATTATAAATGGCTGTGAAATAATCCCTAGTCGACTGCTCTACAGCACGTATATTTCTAATGTGCTACTTGCCTCGATTGTACATTGCTTTGGACAAAAGTGTCTGCCAAACACAAATAAATGAAAATGTAAATGTAATTGCTTTTGAGATTCTTTGTGAAAGGGTTGCGTGGTAAGAATCCATAGGGTTTGTCCAAACAATACATGTTTCCGTTCATCTTCAGCCTGAACTTTTTCTGGGTGCTGATATAAAACAGTTATACAAGAATAGTGAAATTACACTTGAACTGATACCTTTTTTCAGTCAAAATAGGCTTCGCATCGTTGCACCAGTAACTGGATAGGGAGTAATTTCAGAAGAATCTCAGTGGATAGATAAGCAGTACAGACAGTTAACTGGTTAGCTCCTAGATCCTAAAACCTCTCTGTTCATTTTGTGTTTACAGAACCATGACTGTAACTTCAAAGTAGTTTCTTCAGTTGATTAAAAAGTTACGTCTCGAACGGCTGCTCTATAAAGGGTGTAGGACATAAGCACATCGCTCATTTTATAATGTCACTTTAGCACTGCGAGTGGTATCGTCAAGGACGTAGGAGAGAGTTCGATATTGAGGGGAACACAGCTTAATCATTTAAGTAAAGATCTATGTTTTTTTAAACCAAATGAAATATTGAGGGGTACATGTTCACCCCGAGCCCCTCTGGGTACCTGGCTGTCTGTTAAGTTACAGATCTGCTTCTGTCATGGTCACTGCACACATCTCCTCTGGGGTTCGTCCTGCTTAGAAGATCAGCGTCGAGTTTTGACCAGGGGACCCTGGAGGGTTTGTTTACTCCTCAATACTGCCAGGAAGTGTTTGTCACCTTGGTCTCCTGAGCTAAGGTCGCGCTGGATCGTGGACTCACCACGCCGTTGACGGACAGCAGTTGGTCGCCCCGCTTTAGGCCGCCGTGCCGCTCGGCCACGCCCCCCGGGATGATGCGCGAGATGTAGATGGGCGAGTTCTGCTCCTTGCCGCCCATGACGTTGAAGCCGAGGCCCTCCTCGGTCTTGGGCAGCTCCACCACGCGCGGGTGCGAGTGGCCCTCGCTGGCTGCAAACGCCGCCACCGTAGCCTGCATCGGAGATCCAGAGTGAGAACCGGGGGTGAGAGACTCCAAAAATGCCCCACAATCGCTGCTTTTTGGATCACATACTGTCAGCACCCTGAGCCCCCCCTAACACATCAGTGTGGGAGTCATCATTTATGTGTTGAAGCTATCAACGTTACTTAATGCACTGGGTTCCGCTATCCCTGAGCCAACTGAAAGCCTGTTTTCAACTGGATTTCAGCTTCTGGTATCAAACATGGTGTTTCTTCTCATCGCAAATGCATCCAAAGCTGCTGGAAGCTTTTATACCCCAACATACTTTGGGAATTGACTTTTTTGCTCTCCTGACTGTTTCTAAAAACCAAACGAGAGTATCCGAAAACTCCGCCTCCTCTTTGTGTTGCTTAGCGATGCCAGAGGCGTGGAGCACCTCAGATGCATCCAAGCACTCAAGCCTTGGAGCTTTCTGCCTGCTCTCAGCCACTTCTGGACCAGAGAAGGCTCTTCACTTCTGATCAAGGTATGGGTTTTCGTTTGGGGGCATTACGATCCGTCTTCCTCTGAGGAGACAAGGAGCTGAGTCGCTACGCAGCTGTCAGATTACGCACCAGCAACGCCGGGGTTCTGCTGCCACCCCGGATATTTCCACTCCGAGACAAACCCGCCTTGTAAATCGGGCCGAAGTTTGTTACTGGAGTTTGGGGAAACTGGGATCGGAGAAAGAAAACAGCCAAACCCTGATGCTGCGAAACACTCGCAGAAGTTGTCAGCAGAACATCTCCTCCTTAAACCATGTGGATGTGTGAACTTCTCCCCAGGGACTTTGCTGCCCTTTGCTTTCTGTTATGCAGCAAAACGGCCCACTTGCCAGGCACACTCATTAACTCACTTATGTGAGGTGGATCACCTGACTCTATGTGGGTCATGTGACTCTACAGCATTTGATATGCAGGATGGTGCCTCTGTTAGACCTTCGCAGGTGCAGCTTCTGGAAGGAGAATTGAAAAGTGCCACAGACAGACCCTGACTGATCAACCAGCCTTCTAGCATTTTCCACAGTATTTCCTACGAGCAGTTTCTCCCTCTCCTTAATCTTCTATCAGTAAATATGCTCTTTCTTTCTTTATTTCACCTTTTCAGAGCTGTTTCTAAACGCTGGGCTTGGTAGTGCCATCTAACAGGAAGTCATCTTTTATGTGGCTGTTTAGTTAAGTCGGCGTGTGGCTCTGTGGGCTAAGCCTGTGATTAGAAAGGCGCCGGTTCACGGCCCAGCCTTGGCAGATCGGGCCCTTGAGCAAGGCCTTTAATCCCCTGACTGTAGGGCTGCTGCATGCTGAGAGTTTCCCCACGGGGATAAAGTATCGCTATTCTGTCTGGTTCAGGCAAAGAGACTACTGTTGCAGGAGATTTAACTCAGTATTAACTATATATATATATGTGTGTGTGTGTGTGTGTACATATAATGCCCAATTAGTATGTCTGTTCCATGCTAACCCAGAAAGGATTCCGTTAATGGGATTTGGATGGCATCACACCCTGTGATTTGATCACTGTTAATTGAAATCGCCCCCCCGGGGTCCTAAGCTGGTTTGTGTTATTGCTCTGATACTGGTGGCCAATGTTCAGTTGTCAGTTTTACGGTTCTGCTTAGCCGGAAAGGTTGAGTTGGTGAGGTGACATTAAATCAGACGAGGCTGTCCTGTCCTTATTAACGTCCTGTTCTGGGATTCCCAAAATATAATTGGAAAGGCAGAACTGTACAACTTGGTACAACTTTGCCCCAAGCTCTGCATTTTAAAAAATGTTCTAGTGAATCATACTCTTTAGACACTATTTTGTATCAAGGCCTTGATAGAGATGACAAAGTTTCACAGTATTCCTGTTTACCCAGATAACTTCACAATCCTTTTGGCAAATACTAGTAATGCCTTGAATGAACTGATATAGAACGTGGTGGCGTCCTTGCGTGTCTCATAGAGGGCGATGTCCAAACCTCAACACCCCATCATCTGTGAGGAAACAGAGCAGGGAGCCGTTTTGCCCTTTGTGGATCACGTGGGTTCTGTTCGAGCGGCACGGATGAGGATTCCTGATGGAGCATGTTCATCGTCACAGTGGCTAGAGTCCAGGGCGGTAATCGCCGCCAGCCTACCTCTGAACCGCAGACGTGCTCTTACCGTGTCTCAGTCACCCAGGTGAGATGGAATTCACTATCTATTCATCTCGAGATTCTGAGTTACAAGCTTGTTTTTCTGTCTTTTAGAACATGGGAATGACAAAAACACTTTAAATATGATGAAGTACTGATGTATTGATGTTCCTCGTTTAACTATGGTATGACTTAAGATATTTTCGCTTCACGATGGTGCTACAGCGATGCACATTCAACAGTCAACTTTGAACTTTGATCTGTTCTCAGGCTAGACTTACAATATTTTCCACTTATGATGGCGTCATCGGAATGTGACCCCGCGTACATCAAAGAGCACCTGTACTAATGATGCACATGAACACACAGACGCGCATTCACACTGTTGTGGTGCACTCGCTCGTGCGTGGTATGGCGGCCGGAAGCTTTTACCTTAGCTGTAGCGTGGGCCTGGTACTCTGGGCAGCCGTTCACAGTTATTGTTTCATGCATGTACTGATATACCTGCAGAGAAAAATGGGTAAAGAAAAACGGCATCAGCATTTTTGTGCATTAGGGAAAACACCCATTTCCCTCTATATACATAAGGTCCTAGTGGAAGATCCCATGCGATCTGCAGTCATGGTTAAACGGCAGTGACTGGTATTGGTACACTAGGAGAACCCTCCATTTTTATAGAGGACGTCTATGCTAGCACTGCAGCTCACTGAGAGTTAACAGCGAAAGGCTCCTTTAATTTTTACAGACCCTAAATTTTGTCTTCAGGCACTAGTGTCTTTAAACACAGATTACCCAAAAGTTGCAAAAAACACAATTAAATAAGCAATCTTTGCAAAACAAACATTTATTTCTGTCGGGTCCAGGACATAGTGGTGTATCTGGTAATGAGTAATATATACATAATACCAGCTTCAGACCTCGAGCGTTCCGTGAACTCGTACGTAATGAGGATATGGCATTCTTTTTATTTATATGCAGGCATAAATAAGAAACTTCATGAAATAAATCCTTTTGGCCTTATAATGAGCTGCATTTGATAATCTCTTGTCTGCCTACTCAGAAATTTATTGGAAGGAATGTAAATATGAGTCCATTTGACCATTTTGAGTAGCAAAGTGAGCTGGCCCTTAGAAATGGACCCCACAAAGGCTGCCCTCTTCCTGCCTGTCATGTTATTTTTTTTTTTACTTTTTGCCAACCTAGTGAACTTTTCTGCTATATTCAACAATCTGATGAATATTTCATTTCACTTTTTTGGGGCAAAACTGAATCTCAGTACAATTCTATAAAAACAGTCCAGCCTTATTTATTTTCTAGTGTGTGAGTTTGTGAGCAGTATATATTTTACCCTTCCTGCCTACATCAGTGAAAAGTTCTTTCATCTCCCAGCATATCAGGGGCGTATGAAGTACCCAGGGTGTCAGAACCTTAAACGGAACCACCTCACCTCGACCGTTCCTGCAATGTGTGGGCTGGTCCAACCAAAGGAGGTTTCTGCTAATCCTTCATGTTGTCTAAGCAACAAAAGGATGGTTCTTCTGGAAAATTTAGCATTGTGTAACAATGTAGTACTTATCCAATGCCTGACTCAAGAGATATACTATACAACTATAAACTGTTGGAAACTGAAGGCTACCTGAGTCATTGTGATGTGTATGTGTCTGTGTGTACGTGTGGTTCATATATATATATTACATAGCTGGGATCAAATGTCCCCACAGTATGATAAAAATCTGTTATTTTGACATTGTGGGGACCATTTTTGTAACTGCAATAAAAAAATGAAAAATGCCAATCTTGTTTGGGTACTTATGGTTAAGGTTAGGGCTGGGTAGGGGTTAAGGTTGTCATGTTGGGATTAGAGCTTTCCCCATAGAAATGAATGCAGAGTCCCCACAAAGATATAATCACAAACCTGCATGTGCGTGTGTGTGTGTGTGGGGGGGGACTGCACAAGTAAAATTCAAATGCAAAATACTCCACTTCTTCAGATATTGTAATATTAAAACCCACATTCATTTGACAGTATGTACTTTTCTGCATGAAACATCTCTGATAACCATGATGTGCCTGGAAATCCCTGCATCAAATTGAAACTGGGAATGTCTCCGGCACCATGTACGTAACCTAACTGCCTGTCTTTGGATTATGGGGGGAAATCTGCAGGATATGGGGAGAACATGCAAATCCTACTCACACCAAGTAGAGGTGAGATTTAAGTCCCTGGAGGTGTGATGTAGTAAGACTACCCAGAAACCCCCATCCCTGGAGGTGTGATGTAGTAAGACTACCCAGAAACCCCCATCCCTGGAGGTGTGATGTAGTAAGACTACCCAGAAACCCCAATCCATGGATGTGTGATGTAGTAAGACTACCCAGAGAGCCATCACACCTCCTGCTGGGGTTTTAAATATAAGCATAAAGAGTGTAGTTGAGGATGCTGTCTGAAGGTCACGCCCCTGCCTGCGAGCGTCTGTCATCCCGCCAGCCACAGAAAGGCCGGCTGTAGCAGATCAGTGGGGTTTCATGCGCTGTCACATTTCTGCCATGATGTAGATAAAATAGGCACATTTCCAGGCTGCTACCTAACTGGGTTCACTGACTCAAATGACCAATCACTCTTCCTGTAAGGTTCTGAGATTTTAGCACTCTAAATCAAACAGGGCGCAAAACCTATGTGCTAATGGACAAATCATCTTTATTACCTTTCCCTAAAGTAAGAAATGGTCCTACTCAAACTCAGCAGGCTGCACAAAACATTCTTTTAGTCTGTATGTGATATACAGTAATGTGCAAAAGTCTTAGGCAGTCATAGGAAATGTGTAAAGCCATTTATCTGGGTAGGAAGTGATGCATATGCAAATTAGGAGTAACACAAGAAAAGCTAACAGTAACATCTACTGTCCTCCCAACAGTCATTGATATCTTACTGGATGGCTAGAACAATTGCATCAGGTCTCAAACCTCTCCTCAGGGGCACCACAGCCATTCCATGTATTTGTTAACCACCACCAGGCTTGCTTAATTAATTCATTTAATTTGTTACAAAAAAAACAGTCAATGAGGTGTTGATTAGCTGAACATGTTGAACTAGTGGTCAAGTCAAAAAATACATGGCTGCTGCAAATACTGGGGTGATTTTAGGAGAGGTTTTGAAATGTTTAAGCTGACACACTTTGACAGACATAACTTAATATAATTTAAGCACAGTTTTCCTTGACTGACTAAGACTATTGCACAGTACTGTACATTCTTTGATCCATCTAATACTGTTATCCAGTGTTCTCAGTGTACCTGCCACCTATCCCAGAATCCTCTGGGCCCACAGGAGCCCAGACCCCTAACAGGCAGCTCCACGATCCCGGCTGGCATCAGTGTCCTACCAGCGATCGCCTGTCCCCCAAACTTCGACTGCTCAGTCCCCAGAAAGCTCCTCACCTTCCCTCTGCCTTGCATGTCTGGAAATACCTTGAGTTCTGGTTGTTCTAACCTGGTACTCAGCTTCATGTAAGTAGCCCGGCTGGTCTTTGCAAATTTAAATCTACTGTGGCAGTATGCCGAAATCACGCGTCTGCAAAAAAGTAGTTTTTAAGTCAGTAATTCTTGCTTACTTCTGTTTTTACAGATTGGCTTGTCTAGAATTGGTTCTGAAATGATCATGATCATTTCTTTAGTCAAGGGAGCAACAACAATTTCCCTAAGCTTTGGACCAGAAATAACTTGTTAAATTCCTTATGCACCAGTCTAACAGCTGTCCAAAAAAAACAATGTCATTGTACCGTCTAAGGAAACGCAATTTAAAAGTGTCTATGTAAGTAGTGGAAAACCAAAAAGCACAATTCTTTCCTTTTTGCAACTGCATTTGTGAATCACCCTTATCAGACGGAAGTTAATTACCCCCAAAATGGCTGCGCATATTGATTTTGAAATAAGCGGAAGGCTTTTTGTCCCATTAAAACATCTTAGCAAACTAGACAGCTAATGACAGAACATGCCTGTTTATGGAAAACTTAAGATTCCAGCTGTGTGTTTGACTTTCTGACATTGTCTATCATCTGACTGCATAGTTTAAATACCTATTTATACTTCTAGTATCATGCAGAATGTTGATTCTCTCTCCTGGTACCCTATAATGTGCTAGACCTGTCTATAGGAGGCGCTTCAGCAGAACTATACTGGTAAAACAAGCTAGCAGGCCCTGGCAACAATATCAAATTTGGTTATATTTCCAGAAAATGCTCAGATAATGATCCCACTTGATTATCTTTAAAGCTTACCTTGACAAGGCTGCGAGGGCCTGGGTTTGTATGGAGAGACCTCTGGAAAAGGAAGGTCTACAGGCATGGGATGGAGGCTGAGTTAGCTAAGAGCTCGACTTCAGAACTGCCTCAAATCGCCATCCCACATCAGTGATTTGGTTTCCACCTCGAGCGTCTACTCCCTGTTCCCTGACCCATTCCAGACTAACGTAATTTAAATTCCAATCATGGGCTCCTCCTGCCTCTGGGGTGGACTTAGTACCTCAGTCCCTCAAAGGGGAAAGTTAGTCTCCTTTTTACCCGGTGGGTTTGTCCACTTGAATACCCCCCCCCCCCCCCGCCCCGTGCCCCCCGCCCCAGACCTACCTCTCTAATAGCAGTGCAAAACTCGCTCTGTAGCACTTTCTTCAAAGACTGCAGCTTGTGCACAGGGACGTCCCCCGACTCCTGAAGCTTCTCCAGAAGCTCGATCGCTCTGGCTACATCTGAGGAGGAGAAGGAGAGGAGGAACGAAATGTAAAGTCACATCAATCAAGGGAGTCGGCGGGAAAATACACAATAGCGGAATAAATTAGCACGTCTCGTTAAGGTAGGTCGGTCTGACATTACGTTGAATCAGTGAGACAGGAATTCTGTAGGGCTGTCTGCTGACAGGCAGACGATTAAAAAAAAAACTCACCTACGTCTCCCCCTGCCCCTAATTAATGTCAAACGAAGCAGGAAGAGCAGGATTGTAATTAACTGTCCTTTTTTTTCCAAATCAGGAGACGGATTTAAAGTACACGGAATTAAAGAATGAGTGATGACCACAAGTTACATCATTTTAATCAACACAAAACTAATGATTTCATTAGTTAATGGCTGGAATGAGTTTCTCGAGCAGGAACCGAAAATGGTAGCGTGCGGAATACTAATAATGCAGATGTCTGGAGTTACAGTTTCTGTTGACTGCCAGAAACGTCTTTGCTCAGGTTTTTTGCAAAAGCAGGAGGGTGGGGGCTGATGATGACCCGTCGCTTCGGAAAGGATCGAGCCAAAGGGGAAAAGGTGTATCTGAAATGTGGCTTCAGCATAAAAAAGTGATATGATGTCACACGCCCTAATTTTAACCTTCGTCCTGCATATTGTCCGCATAGACTGAAGCTTTTATTCTTCTTTAAGGGCATTTTCACAGCCAGACCAGGGAAGTCATATATTTTAATTTAGCTTAAATTATTTCCCCCCTTCACGCTCAATATTAAAATCTGAGACTTAATTACCAGACTTGCTGCAGACATACTGCGCTATAACCAAAAGCAGTAACAAGTGAGCGCTTGTACCAGTCCACAGTGTCTTCTGAGATATCTTCCTTGTGTACACCTCTGTGATATCTTCCTTGTGTACACCTCTGTGATATCTTCCTTGTGTACACCTCTGTGATATCTTCCTTGTGTACACCTCTGTGATATCTTCCTTGTGTACACTGACAGAGCTCTCTGTTATACATTAATTTAAGCAGAGCCACTCTTATACCTACACCACTAACAGCAGCATACTTGGCCGAACCAATAAAATAAATGTATTCGGATAATTGAATAACAGGATCATATTACTTCTAGATGTTGAAGTAATGCTCTTATCCGGAGTGAGTTTCCGTCGATTTATACAGCTGCTTGTGTTTGCACAAGCAAATCTAGTGAGCACCTCATCCCGGGGGACAATATAGCAGCAATTAGCATGTGAATCTGCCAATGGTTCATGCGTTTAACCATCATGAGTCCAGACGATCGTAGTTTATGGTTACAACATAGCAAACTTTCTAAACTGTGCAGCTTGCAGGGACAGAATGTGCCACATCACTGATTGGTCAAACCCACTTCCTGTTCATTACTTTTATTGGTTCCATCAGGGGTAATCCATAAAGCAATTGGATAGTGCATAGTAATCCCACCCACCAATGGCCACATTTCTCCCATTACAAATTAATCAATACGCCGCCTTCCTTTAACTTTGCAGGTTTCTGTCACAATAGAACAGGCGGTGAATGAGCCTGACGGCCCCCAACACAGTATTGGGTTTCAGGCTAAGTACAGGTTCGTTTTTTCGGGCTCAGGTTGGATTGGGGTTAGTTTTTTCCATTGGCTTTTTGTTATTGTTGTTATTTAATGCTTTTTGCATCAATCCCAGCACTTTCCCAGAGCATATAAGCTGCACAGCTGAAAATACTGTCAATAAAATATATGCGTATGACTTATATTTACACAATTTCGGGATCAAGTCGGGTTTGGGTTTTAGATTTGCTAGTGCTATTCGGGTCAGTTGGGTTCGATCTCAGATAGGGGCTTGGGCCAGGCAGGACTCTAACTGTGTGGTCAGCAACTATAGAAATAGAAACAGCAAAAAAGAGCTGAAAGCATAATCAAACCAGAACCGTATTCATTTTGTATTTCCTGTTAGCAAAATGTACCCTCGGAGTAATTGGAATGCAGAGATGCTGGGTGGCGGGTATCAGCGTTGGAACGGCTCATTAGAGCACACCTTTGGGATTAACATTACCGCGGAAGCGATCAGTAGCGATCTGAGTCCAGGCAGAGCTGTCGGGCTGAATTTTATAAGAGCCCCGGGTCACGGCTGACAAATAAATAGGGAAATGATCTCCAAATGGCTGAGTGGTGTGTTTACAAAGATAAAGGTCGAGGCTGATGTCACAGGTACTGCAGGGGATAAATACAGACCCTTCAAAACTAATGTTCCCTTAGTTTTCAACACCCACACTGTCACCCCAGCTACCAGGCAGACTTATAAATAACTAAAACTGAAGAACAATCACAGGGAAACGCAATCATGCCACAAAGAGTACTCTAGAGGTACTCTAGCCATTCAGGTGTTAACATTACCTTTCAGATCAGTCTTCGCTATCTGTAGGGATCTAGTGGCTTTGGCCATGTAAGGAACTGGGCTGCACTCTAATCCATTCTCTTCTGAGTCTGACCAAGGGGCAAAGTGAAATACGTCAGAGATGGAAAGTTCAGGTTCAGAAAGTATAAATCCAGACCAAGATTTTGTTTCAACCAGCAAGTTGAGGATAAAGAGTCACATTCACATCAACTGGTTGGTTGGAAGAAAATATTGGTCTGGATTTATACCTTCTGGACCTGAACTTTCCACCTCCGATAAATGTAGAAGGATACATGCCAGGAAATCACCTCAAAGTGACATCAACTTATACTCCCGATCTGTCCATCCCATAATATGAAGGTTGGTGTATCATGTTATGTTAGCCCCTTGGGCAGTCAAAGACAATGATGCTTAAATGGCCCTCATGTTGATGTGAAACCATGATATTACTGTATGTCAAAGTGTGTCAGCTTAGCCATTGCTAAAATCACCACAGTATTCAGAGCATCAGCACACCTCCTTCAGCTGATCAATACCTTATCCAGTTATTTAACTAATTAAATGAATGAATTAATGTAGCTGGTGACTAATTGAACGAATCCATTGAATGGCTGGAAGTTCCTGGGAAGAGGTTTGGCAATCAAAGTGGTGTTCATGTACAGTACCTATCCAACAAGATATCAGTAACAATCTGGAGAACAGAAGACATCCATTAGTGTTTATTGCATTACCATTAATTTGCTTATGTTCTAACGTTAAACTGTATTTCTTTTCTCAGAAAATAGACACAATACCCAGATGAATGGCTTTAAACATTTTCTTTGAATGCCTAAGGCTTTCATATACATATAAATACACACACACTCACACACACACACACACACACACACACACACACAAGTTGGTCTTCCTATCTAAATGGGGACCGTTCATTCATTTCTATGGGAAAAACCCTAATCAATCAGGACACCCTTAACCCCTACCCAGCCCTAACCGTAACCATAAGTAACCAACCCAAATACAAGACTTTTGGCATTTTTACTTTTTTGATTGCATTCACAGATTTTTATAAAACTGAGGATATCCAAATGGGGACCTCAAAAGATGTCCCCAAAAGTAGGGACATTTCAGGTTTTACTACACTTTGGGGACAATTTGGTCCTCAAATGTGATCTATGCAAACCCACACACACACACACACACACACACACACACTATATGGAGACAAAAGTATTGGGACACTTGGCCATTTGACCTACAGGAACCTTTATATCATCCCATTCTAAATCCACAGGCATCAATATGGAGCTTCTCCCCCCTCTGTAACTATAGCAGCTGCCACTCTTCTGGGAAGGCTTTCCACATGGAGTGTGTCTGTGGGAATTTTTGCCCATTCATCCAGAAGAGCATTTGTGAGGTCAGGCACTGTTGCTGGCCTGGCTCTCAGTCTCCATTCTAGTGATGAATGGAGACTGACATGTCTGGGCTCTGTGTAAGTTCCACACCAAACTTTTCCATCCATGTGTTTATGGACCTTGCTTTGTGCACTGGGGCACAGCCATGCTGTAACACAAAAGGACCTTCCTCAAACTGTTCTCACAAAGTTGGATGCATAATATTGTCTAAAATGTCTTGGTATGCTGCAGCATTAAGATTTCCCTTCACTGGAACTAAGGAGCCAAGCCCAACCCCTGAAAAACAACCCCACACCATAATCCCTCCTCCACCACACTTTACAGTTGGCACAATGCAGTCAGGCAGGTAACGTTCTCTTGACGTATACTGTACCAAACCCAGACTCCTCCATAAGACTGCCAGATGGGGAGGCGTGATTCATCACTCCACCGAACACATTTCCACTGCTCCAGAGTCCAGTGGCTTTACACCACTGCATCCAACACTTGCCATGCGCTTAGTGATGTGAGGTTTGCATGCAGCTGCTCAGCCATGGAAGCTCAGTCCATGAAGCTGCGACACACAGTTATTGAGCTGCAGTTAATGCCAGAGGAAGTTCGGAACTGTGTAGTTAATGAATCAACAGAGCACTGGTGACTTTTACGCACTATGCGCCTCAGCATTCAGCAACTCCACTATGTTACTTCACATGGTCTGACACTATGTGGCTGAGGTTCTGTTGTTCCTAAATGCTTTCACTTTGCAATAGTACCACTCATAGTTGACCATGGAATATCTAGCAGGGAAGAAGTTCCACGAACTGATTTATTGCAAAGGTGGCATCCTATGACAGCACCACGTTTGAATTGACTGAACTCTTCAGAATGACCCATTCTGTCACAAATGTTTGTAAACCTGACTGCAAGGCTGGGTGCTTGATTTTATACACCTGTGGCAATGTGTCTGAAATAAGCACCTGAATTCAACGATTAAGAGGTGTGTCCCGATACTTCTGCCTGTACTGTGTGTGTGTGTGTGTATGTGTGTGTGTGGACATTTGAAGACTAGATTTATATTATATGATGGGGAAGAAATTTCCCATACAATGTAATAGAAACCTTATTTTGAAGTTATGGGGACCATTTTTCAGGTCCCCATAATGATCTGTGAATGCAATCGAAAAATTAAAAATGCCAAAAGCCTCCCATTTTATTTTGGTACTCATGGTTAAGGTTAGGGCTGGGTAGGGGTTAAGGTCCCCATGTTGGGACTAGGGTTTTCCCCATAAAAATGAATGGTGAGCCCCCACAAAGATATAATTACAAACCTGTGTGCATGTGTGTGTATAAACAAATAATTTGGCTAATCTTTGAGCAGCATTACATTCCCCTTATCTTTAATATGATTTAAATATATGTGTAGGTGTTAAGATCATATTGCATCCCAAAGAGCCACCCTGGGCATTCATCAGCCAACACGACTGGACCCTGACTGTAGCCTCTGTGAAAGAAGGAATTTCAGGTGTGTCCTTCAAAATGGCAAGTGAAGCTGCTCTTCTGTGCTAGTGCTCAAAAGAGGTGGACAGCTCAACCTGCGATGTTTACTGGCACATTTATGAGCATCAAAAGGGACAAGCAGAATAGCAGGAATACCACAGAAACCTACCACTAGCGCCCCACCCTGGCCATGTGTGTAATTACATCCAAGCTGCTGAAATGTTTAGAAATGGTTTATGTGTTTCGTTTTTGGACTACAAGTGCGCATCTCCTTTGCAAGCTGTATCTTTGCAGAGCCTCTCCTGACACTACTGTCCGCCTCTCCCCAATAAGATCGCGCCTTGACCTCTAAATTTTTTTGCAAACGGCCGTCCACTTATTTCCGGCAAAGACAATCCCATCCCACCGGCACTGCGTGCCCGTAATCCCAGCAGGAGACGTTTAGAGAATTCCTAATTATAAACAGTGCACCCTCGAGAGAGAAAAACAGGAAGTAGTGAGTGAATCCCCATTGTGCTGAGTCTGTATGCGGTGTTCCCTTAAGGGAGATGGTTCAAAGGGGTTTTAAAATCTGCCTCAGAAGTGCCCTTTCTCTGAGAGGCTGGACCCAAGCAGCACTGGCTCTATTAGAGCTATCCATGTTCCTGTTAATGAGAATGACATATGGTGCTGCTGGAACAAGGTTTCTTAAATCATCCTGGGAATAAATCACAGCATCTCCAGGTGCATACGGAACTACCTTCCCAATGTGATGCAAAAAAAGGCCAATTCCTCAATGTGTTATTAACATCTCATCTAGTGTGTATTAAGAGTCATGGTACTAAAGCTGACAGCAGATCATTCCAGAAACCCAAGCCCAACCCCCCGGACCAAATTAAGACCTCTGATTTGCTTAATAACTTTGTTCCCGTTTTACTGTCATTTTCATTCAGACTTTTTGATTTTTTGTGTGACTGCTTTCTTCTAAAAAGCAACTGTGTGTTTGCGCGTGAGCGTGTGCATGCATGCATGCGCGTGTGTATCTTTGCATGTTTACTGCTTTTGGCCAGGGTGTTGCTTCCAAATCGCTCCTGGACACCCGTGGGGAGCCTCGCCATCTGGTGCGATTAAAATTTTGAGGTTCTGCAAACCCGAAAAAAAAAAAAAAAAACACATTCTGATGAATCCTGCCAGGACGGCTGAGATCAGCACGTCGTGGGACTGGAGCGCCGTACCATCTACTGCAGATCATCAAGCCATGAAACAGGATAAGTTAAAACTAATCTGCGATAAATTACTGCCACATTAACACTCCTGGCTTAGGGTGGAGTAGTACTGAGCAACTGCTAGATCTCGCCTTTATCTTATAACTGTGATTGGTTTAGTCTTTACTAATGTATTACTGCCATCCTTGCTTGTGTAATTGCAGCTTCTCTGCAAGCCATCCCAATAGCTGTACTGTTTTTATTTTTGTATTTTAAGGTTTGCCCTGGTTTTCCCCCTTCCAATTAAAGTCATCAACCACCAGCTCTGCATGTGTGTATGTGTGTGTGTGTGTGTGTGTGTGTGTGTGTGTGTATGTGTGCGTGTGTGGCCCTCTATCCAGTGAGCAATTAGGATAATTCTGCAAACAACACATCCTCCCTTTTAGTGGTTATGAATTCAGTTACCGGATAACTAGAGAGACTGGATTTAATACAAACCAGTCAAATAGCATCAGTGCTTCTTTTAAGCACTTGTCATCTCTGTGGCTGAACACTATCTGTGAAAGAACAACGGTACACAAATATGCAATATTCTTGCAATGGGTTATATAAGCGCAACACACCCTGGTAGGTCCTGTAGTTGTTAGTTTCTTCTTTATGGGGTGTTTTGCCACAGAGGGAATGTTTCTTGAGTTAAATCCATGATACACTTTAATGGTCTATAAAAGAGACCTCACAAATCAGTTCTGAGGGCACACAGACATAAACAGTACTAATATTGTACTTATTTATTCACAATCTGCATTGCACCTTCAGAACTGCATAGGGGACCACACAAAGCACAGCTTAATATGGAAACAGACTTTGGCTTGCAGGAACAAGCTAAAACAATACCAGGAAGTCAGCACAAATATCTGTTTTTTTCTCAGACTGCTGGTAAATTCCTTTTCCTCTGCCTGAAATTGTGCTTGATGGTGCAGTAATGCAAGTGAAGGGCAGGATTTGTGTTCATCAGGAAAGAAAAAAGTCCTTTAATCATTACATGACGGGGATGCTCTATATGTGCCTCTACCTTTCTGGAATCATTACACGATTAATTTCAGCCAGCCAGGCACCACAGCCCCTGCTGCCTGCGGTTTGACAGCCACAGTAAAATCATGCAGCACGTATCGAAAATGACGTGGGTTTAGCCTTTTTCCAAAGGTGAATGTTAAAATAAAACAACAGTTTCGCTCCTGTTTCACTGCCTGGCTATCAAGACATTCACTCCAAAGACTGGAACAATTACGGTAGAATCATAAAATAATATGTTAATGTGCCCTAAGATGCGTGAGTCGCACTTATTTACATGTCTGCATTCCATGCATGAAAGTCACTGGGCACACGCGGCAGGAATCGAAAGATCCAGCGATCTTCATATGCCCTTTCCAGATAGAAGGCTCATTTAAACAACGTGACCGTGTCCGTGCATACAGTATATACCGCCAAACCCCTGCGGCTGACACGCTGAAGCACGGGCACAGAAGCTTCGCCACCAGGCGCTGATGCAGCGCTCGGCATGGGGGCCAATCAGTCAGGCTGGGGCCGGAGTTGCTGCATGGGAGCCTCCCGGGGCTCGAGGAAAATTAAGCTATGCGCTTTGCCCTGGGAAAAGGGGCTTCACCGGCGCAATCGCCATATCAGCAGTCGGCGGGGATAGCCATAGGGCTTAAAATATGCCTCCGGTGTCGCGTTTCACTATTTATAAAGTTGTCCATCACATTGCTTTCGGGCTGTGGTTGTGAGGGAGTTACGTTTCAATGCTCCTTTGACGTGCTTTGCACGGCAATGGGTCGACAAGTAAGGTAAAAAGAAAAGTTTATTCTAAAAGTAAAGTCCCGCTGCGTTTTGAATCTGTTTAAAATAGGAAAGCGACAGCATTTGAAATGTGGTTTAGATTCGGCTAGGAAGTCAGTTTATTTCACTGCTTGATTTTCCGATGTTCCGAAGTTGTGACATTGATTGCCTTTGCTCGGAGGACTGAGCTCCCCTAGTCTCGCAGCATCGCCTATGTGACGCGAGTAAAAACATCATGACACTGACAGCGTCGGGGTTTCCATTAACCAAAATAAAAGGAGAAAAATGCAATGTGTAGCTTCTGCAGCAGGACACACATTTGCCAAATTCACTCCCCAATCTAATGTAGTTGCCCGCAAATACTTTGCTTCTACAAAACACTACGATATCCGGTCTTTACCTTATCCATACAAACCAGCAATAAAAATACATCATATTAAACGCATTCCTCTTTTTGGGAGATATATTGGTCAGGGACAGGAGAACTGGGTAAAATGTAACTAAATTCCCACTCGATTGTCCTTCTGTTGTAAAGTCATCATTCAGCATATCAACACATATTTAGACGTTACATAACTGTAAACACACGAGGAAAACAATTAGCTATTGTGCATGGAAAACCTCGAATTACGAGTTAATTTAAATTTATTATAATGCAATTACAGTTCTGCATATGTACAGACCTCCGTCCACTTGCAGGAAGGGTTCCTGCGCGGTTATATTTAATTGCAGCACTGTAGTAAGTAGGGAGGTAAATACAGGGTACGGTGCGTAATCGCGTGAAAAACGCAAAGCAAAGCGATCGCTGGCGACTCGGGCAGGATGGCGGAAGCCGGTGGACGGACGATCGGAGGCGGTTCTTACCTCGATCCAGAGTCAGCGGCTGGACCATTGTCGCCATGGCTGCTCCCTGCTCGCGATACGGAGCGGCTGTGGCATCGGAGAGCCGCTCCGGGTCCGGCGATGGGAGTGGCTTGGAGGGACAGCCGGGCTCACGTTGCGTTGTTTTCATGTCAAGCCTTTTTTATTCTTAAAACCGACGGGGGGAAAAAAGATGATCATTAAGTAGTGACACAAAATAACACGCAGGGAGCGGACTAGTACCAGTCAGTTAAAATTCTCTTTAAAAGTGTCAAGAAACACTTATACCCAGTTGATCTTCTATGATTGGTAAGTTTGTATGTTTTCAGTTACACAGCGTGTAGTTAGAGTATGGAATATAGTGCTAGTGCTAGTGTAGCGGAAGCTAAAACCCTGGGTTCCTTTAAAGCAGAGCTAGATAACATTTTAACAACTCTGAGCTATTAAAGTTCTCCCCAAACGAGCTTGATGGGCCGAATGGCCCCCTCTCGTTTGTAAATTGAATTCTTATGTTCCTAAGAATGTTTAAATGACCATCGCCATGGTGTAGAGAATGAATTCTTTGCCTAAAGTTTTAAAAGTGTCTTTATGTTTGATAATAACATTGAAATTAATAGTCCTGTATAGACATAGATCACTCCGTCCATCTTCAAACCACCTATTTAGTTCTGTTTTGTTGGACTGCAGTTTGGGGGGGGGTGGGGGGGGGGATTGGCTGGCTAACCATCTTAAAGCATGTATACATTTTACAACTCAAAGGAGTTCAAGAGATTAACGTTAAATACCCCCCCCCCCTTTTCAGGTGTTCGCTATCTGTCATGTGTGCCATAGCGGGGCTGCCTACTCTACATTTACCCTTTCAGACCCTCAAGCAAGAAAACTTACGTCACATCTATATTATTCCATTATAAACCTGAAACTAGCTACATCAAAAGCGTTGGGATCGTTTGAAAACCTTATAGACTATTTACAAGGTAATAAAACTGTTACATACATGTAAATGCGTGTGCAGACTTGGTTCAAACTGAAAATCTCACTCCAGCCAGCTGACTAAAGTTGGCAGGTCAGGCCATAATGGGCACATCCTGGCTGTATCACTTCAGGTACAGCAAGCTGTGAAAACTGCTACCCCTCTGCGTGAAAGAATGATATTTCCATGGTTAAAACCCATTCACATAAACGGATTAAGCATTAAATGGAATTTGTGTATATGACAAACTCTGAATAAATGTCTGTGCAAATAAATCAGCAGCCCCTAACTTAATTCCGAGTCCTCCTCCTCCCCCCAACCCCAAGCAAGGGAATTTAGATGCAAGAAAGGGAGCAGACTTCATAGTGCATGAGGACTACAGCTCTACAGTTGACAGTTCATGCTCCTGTACCCTTGAATCCAGTTCAGCCTGATTCGTACCAGTAAAATGGCCAGCTGTAGGGATAGGTGAAGCAGCAAGTAAGAGATAAAGACAGCTTAAGGTAAGCAAGGGGGGAAAAGGTGGGATGAATCACACAGTAACATCTGTAAGGATCCTGATCTTTGCTGTTTGCCTTTCAGATGATCAGCGTGACAGTTTCCTCCCAAGTTAGCTTGGGCTATCAGCTGGGGTCACTAGCATTGAAGACCCCTGTGGAGATGCTGCCTCTCACCATTGTGAACGTTTGACTAGTGTTATACTGAGGAAAAAAATGCAAAAAAGAAAGAAAATACCCTCATAATTTCTTCTGGGCTGGGATGGATGTGGTGCTGTCTTGAGGATTCTATGAGTGTGCAGCGGTTTCGCTGTCAATCTTGCAGCCAGATTGTGAATTTCTCAGCAGAAATTGGGTGCAAGGGGGCACCATGGTGGTGCAGCTGTTACCACTATTGCCTCACACTTCTGGGACCGGGCTTTGGGTCTCCTCTCCGGCTTTATGTGCATGGAGATTGATGCTCTCCCCATGTCATCATGGGGTTTCTTCCAGGGGCAAGTTTCACAAAGCAGGATAACTTGTTGGACTTAAGGTAGTTTGGGCTAAATGTAACTGAACGAAGATAAAGTCCACTTAACTTGGGGTTAGGGTTACCTTAAATCCGACAAGTTATTTAGCTAGCTAGCAAATCTGGTTTCATGATGTTGGTCCCTGGTTTTCCGTGACCCGTTTGCTGCTCTGCATCAGCTGAATGTCACATAATGCTGCTGTGATTCATTTACAGAAGCCATCAGCTAATGAGAGTGCAGACAGGCAGACGGGTCAGTTACTCTCCTAATGGTTTCCCTGAACCACTACACCACTCAGCTGTTCGGTGCAAACACGCCATATTGGATTGTTCTCGATTCAGCTCTTTCTCAAGCCTGAGGACATTTTAATTATTATTGTTGACCTGTTAACTAAGGAAATAGTTGTACATTTTTAGAATGGCCAAATGGTCCATCATCCCAGCCTCTACTCCTGGTTGGTGCTATGGGCCAGGAGACTGTCCAAGGCAGAACAGGGCATTAGGTGGGGATATACCCTGGACTGGATGCTACATGTACACTATGGATGATTTCAAGATGCCAGTTAACCAAACTTCCTGTCTTTGGTCCGTGGAAGAAAATCCTGAGTGGCATGGGGCTTCAGAAGAACCGCAACCTTTGAAGAAGATCATCACAGCAATGAAACACGCCGTCGTAAAGCGTAAAGATCCAGACAGACGACAGAACATTCCGGAAGAATGCTACCGATGCGGTTACCTGGAGTGGAAATTGATTTAACGGCACTTAAAAATCAACACAACATTTATACAGTATATGCAGAGACAGCAAGGCTGTACCGCAAACATTATGATCGCCCTGCTCCGGAGTGTGTAACATCATCGATGCATGAAAAGCAGGAGAGCCCAAGTAAAAGTGAAAAATTGTCAGATAAACATCTCCCTTATTATTCTGGGGGGTTATAGTGGTGTTGCTCAGTGCAGTAATTTATTAATGTGCCTGTATTACAAATTACAATGGGAATAAAGTAGGAATATGTTTTGGAATAGATTTCAGGCTGGGTGCGTTTCCCATCTGACATTAAATCAGATGCATTAGTGAAACATCTTCACTTTGTTTTATTTTGACGTTATAAGGCAGTATTTTGTGAGAACCGTGTAGGAAGCTCAGGATGCTGATTACATGCTAATCCAGTGATGAACTTCACGAATACAGTGTGTCAGCCTGAAAGTCAGGAGTATGGGCAGAGGAATCTGTGTGAGGCAGACTAACAGGAAAGGATGGCTGTGCCGGTTTCCACTTGAATAAACAGCCTCTTCCGCTTATCATCTGGCTCTGCCGAGCCGAACGCCAGTTTCCCATCCCGCAGACGCACTGCTAGCACATGAGGGGGCCCTTCGGGAAACACTCTCATCCAACATGTAGGCTCAGTTGGAGCCTTTAATTGTTAATTATATGACCAATCACACTGGTGAAAAGCCTGGCTCATTAGAGTATAATAAAGCTGCCTTTTTATCGAGATTCGCATTTGAAATTTGGGGCGCGCATAAAACTCATCAGTCTTAAGAATGATAAATTATGTTATACCAGTTTTTCACTGAGTTGCACACATTGTTTTGTTATTCATGAATGATTTTAAAGGCTGTTCTGTTGGACATGGTGGGTGGTAACTACTTTTCCCAGACACATTCAGAGACGATTTGCTGTCAGTAATTAAAATCCCATTAAGCGTCTTGTCATTTTAGCTGCATGGTGAATTCGGCACATTTGTGTATTTCTTATTTAGCATTTCGTTGACTTAATATTTTATATATTGTACATAAATAAAGAAAAGCATTTAATGGAATCTGGGGTGTTCTCTGTGGGAAGGACACAGCCTTCAGTTTGACCACAGAAGTCTGTTTAGACACCTGTATTTAAATTCGTTTTCATGGGCAGCATTTTAAATATGTATTTATTTGTTTCACTAGCAAGCAGTAGCTATGAAGTAGCTACGATGACAGGAATTTCGTTTTGGTGTCCAGTAATCCAGTTATTGTGTTAAACAAAACCTTGCAATCTCCACTACATGTGACTTAACCAAAGGTGTATGTTTCATTTCATCAATGATAGGGACCAAACAGCCCCCCCCCCTCCCCAAACACACGCTACTTCCACAGTCTTGGTAGGAACACGTTCCTAAATATACGCCCTTTGATTTGGAATATTTGGCATATATCTTTTCTGATTGATTGTTTTTGTTTTAAGTGTTGCTGTCTTATGTTCTATTACTATTGATTTTTAAATTGCTGTCATTTTTTAGATTAGTATTATTATGTCTTTATTGCTAGTTTTTACTATTCTTTTTTATTTGTTTGTCTGCTCCCTGTAAAGCACTTTGAGTTACAAAGAAATGTATGAAAAGTGCTATATAAATAAAATGTATTATTATTATTATTATATTGAGAATAGTACTCTTCTGCCTGTCATGTCTTTGATTACTTATTCATAACTATGGAAATTTTTTTCTGGTACATCATTGCAGAAACATGTAAGATTCTGCCCCCATTTTGAGGTCACCTGAGGCTTAAAGGTCATGCTTATCAACTTAAGAACAATTTGCTTGTTTGTGACCCAGCGGTGTAAACTGACTGCAGCCACTGTTGTAGCTGCAGTGATTGCTCCATTACTGTGCTTTCAATGGTTTAAATCTTAAACACGTTGAAATAGGGAAATGCATAACCTCAAGGGAGTAAAGGAGGGCTTGTGGTCTGTGCCATGAACATTAGTTGACGTTATTCTTTTTTCTCCTGAGGCTTTTCTGCCCTGGTGCTGCCCTGCATCCCCGGTGGGACACAAAAAGCTCTATATTCCAGTTGGATAAATTTGTTTGCTGAGGCAGTTGCGTCCGGTCGTTTAAACGTGGCTCCTAGTCCAATTGCTCTTTTCATTTTCAATTAATTTGTGCAAGCAGGGAGGCTTGTTCAGTCAGCACAGTCTCCAAGGTACAGCCAGGGGTTGGTGGCTGAAGCTGTTCGGGAGAGAGAGAGACATCGAGCGCCTGGGACTCACAGAGTGCAAACGATGGGCGTTTTCGATTGGGGCTTATTGAGTGCCGCGGAGATTTGGGAATGGGCTGGAGGAGAGAGCTCTTAGCTTATGTGAGGGTTTAAGGAATCGTCCCTAGAGTTTACTTTGCATGATATTCAGTCTTGTGTCTCTTTTGGTCTGGTTCATGCTGTTCCTGCAGTTTAAGTTACATCCATGTCTGGCAGTCTTAACAAACTTTATGGTCTAGTCTTGGAACTTGAGGAATTCATTCAAATTTCGGGTTTGGGTTGTTTTTGTGCCTTTGACAGTGGTACTTGGTTACATTTCAGGTTCTGTTATAAGCCACGTAAGTGTCTTGGCGGGGATGTGCGGCTGCAGGACAGTGTCGTCTGGATCTCCATGCTCTTGCAGATCTGACTGTGAAGCACTGTCAGACATTCCGTGGACATTCTCAGAGGTGCTGCTCATTTAGTTTCAACTGCACTTTAGCATTTAGCAAACTTTTGAAAGCTGTTCATGAACTCCTGCCCTCATTTGCATTTTTATACATAAATCTGAACCAGACTCTCTGGAACAAATCCCGATATGAAAATTGTCTGATAACATGAAAGCTTTAATAAATCCAATTTTTGTAAAGTATAAAATGATACTTGTAGGGAGTGAATGTGCTTATATTTTAATTAAGAAATACATGAGCTACCTTTTTGGTTTTTGGTTTTGGGGAATCACCAAATAGGTTATAGAATATTGTATTAGCAAGGTCATGTCCATTCTAACTACATTGTTGAGAATAATCCCCATTCATTGGCTGTTTTGCCTTTTGGGAAAGGGCTGATATTCCCTAAAGCCTTCTGATTGGCTGCTATGCAATCAAAAAAATGTCTATAAAAGGCTGTGCGTATTTAGCTCCCTGTCAGAGTTATCCTGTCAGCACACTTCATCAGATTTATTCAGGTGAAAAACCCTGCAGGCTTAAACTGGCTGCATCCCAATGGGTCTCTCACAGAGGAGGAAGTGCACATCAAGAGCTGTGGTGAGCCACTTCCTGTGTCAGCCCAGCTTCCATTAGTCTCCAGCTAGCATAAAAATGTGAACATGTGACTCTGGGATAAGAACTGAGGACGCAATCATATGACTGATACTGCGGTGGTTCAAGTTTTTGAGATGAAGCATCAAGCTTTCATATACTGTATATCCTTTTCTGAGCAAATGTTCATCGGTGTTTATGTGTTTCTGTGTGTCTGGGTTATGTACAAGTTACATTGTGGGGACCAGATTTTCTTAAATTGTGTTAAAAACTGGTTATTTTAACATTGAGGGCACCATTTTTTCAGTCCCCACAAGGGAAACTCAATTTTATAAAAATCTGTGACTGCAATCAAAAAAACGAAAAATGCCAAAAGTCTTGAATTTTCTTTGGTTACTCGTGGTTAAGGTTAGGGCCGGGTAGGGGTTAAGGTTGTCATACTTAGGACTAGGGTTATGCCCAAAGAAATTAATGGATGGTCCCCACAAAGATATGAGTACAGGTCTGTGTGTGTGTGCGTGTACCTGACGTGTCCGGCTGATTGTTCAGGAGTGCTGGGCCTGCTTTGTTACTGAGTCACCGGACACTCGACGGGTGCTCCGATGGACATGGCAGAAGACCAGGTGGAAATGAGCAGAGTCTGCTCACGTGTCCGTGTGCTAACAACCCTGAAGCTGCCATACGGCACTCCTCACCCCCCCAGCGGCGGATGGCTTACTTAAGAATGGCAAAATGGGGGAAAATCGATTCAGGAAGGTGAAATGACAGTAGGACAAAGGGAAATGGTTTAAAAGATGCAACGCAAAATGTTGCCATCTCTCCCCATGGGCAGTGTGGTATTTCTACAACATCGAAATATTTATTTTATAGCCCACCGGTTTCCAGAGGGTAGTTAAAGTATACAGTAATGATATAATCAAATTACTTTTATGGCTCTGTTTTTTTGTTGAAAGATAAAAAAGACTTGGATAATTTCTGTGTTGTCATGGGAACTGTTTGCAGTGGGCCAACTGCGATTTCTTTTACAGTGGTTTGACATTCAGGCTTCTTTTTACAAACCTCCAAGGTCTCATCTATGGCATTATATGAATAGAAATTAATGAACCATTTTTCTCTTCTTTGTGGGAGGGGGGGGGGGAAATATTTAAGTGAAAAATGGCAGTTGTGAATGTAAAATAGGACCATTGATATTAATGGCTCTTAGAATGATGGAATAGCCAACCGCGATTTTTGCAGAGCGCTAAGCTAACTATGGGCAGCAGTGCGTGCCCCTGGAAACCATTTGACCCAGTTGGCCTCCTACGGAGAATTGACATGTGCTAGCAGCGTCTTCCAGTCTGTCTGCCCTGATTATACCCATCACTCTCCCGAAGGGCCCCCTCACATGGCCGAGCCAGTGAACAGCGCTGAGATCTCACTTCTCTGTTAGCCGGTTAGCTTTCATTTTAAAGGATACGGTGAGACATTACAGCTGTAGAAAACTGTGTTTATTACAGCAGTTTTAATATGAATTACTGTAAATATACAACTGTGTGGACCTATAATGTCAAGAACTGGAATAAAGTTGCTAATTAATTAGTGTTTTGTTCGGAACATTGTTTTAGGCGACGACCTAGTAAAGAGAGATATACATTAGCTATACAATGTTACAATTTTTAGAAATGTCTTTTTGTGTAGGTGCCAAAACTATATTGGACCTGATTTGTTTAATGCTTTTTATTCCCAGGGGAGGTGGAAACCTGGGTGATAGATGGTCTGTTTTATACCTCCATAGTAACAATTCTGGTCTGCAAACGCTACGCTTTTTTCCCGTTACATGTGCGTGCCACTTGATACCAGGATCACACTGAAAACGCTTGACCTCTATGATGGAGGAGGGTGACTCTGTTGACAACAAACAACAACAAACAAATTTATTTTTGTATAGCGCATTATCACAACATTACATCGTCTCAAAGCGCTTCACAGCATCCCCACCCAAAGCCCCCAGTGAGTAAGCCATAGGCGACAGTGGCAAGGAAAAACTCCCGAGAAGGAAGAAACCTTGGGAGGGACCAGACTCAAAGGGGGAACCCATCCTCCAGGGGCCGGCAGGGAGAGTCAAATACAGTAAAATTTGAGACACAAACGGGGAGCAGGGGGGAGATGACAGCCGGTGCCAATGCTCCCTCCAATCGCCAGGCAACCAGAAGGCAGGCAGCGGGTCATACGAGGAAGATGAGACAGGCAGAACGGCAAGCTGGATGCACGGACGTCATTGGTAGAGGTGACGTCACATGTTGCAGGGTGTGCTGGACATCTTGATAGATTGAGGGCTCCAGGCAGCACCCCCCAGGAGGAGCAGGGGAAATAAAATATGCAATTAGTCAAAGTAGGGGAGACTATAGGCAGTGCTAAAAGTTAGGTGAGTGCAATATGAATGACCTGTTTATCGGTTTAAATGTTCTTCAAATGAATATCGGATGGCCCTGCAGTATCAAACGTTATGGTGGAGCACAGCAGGCGGTCAAAAATGACCTGGAGGGTAATGGGTTTTGGTTCATGTCAGTGAAAGTCCTCTGGAAGACACGGCCCTGAAATTCCTTAATTTCCGCTGTCAAAACTGTTGTGGAAGGTTCTGGAAACATCTGCTTCCATTAAAACCAGCGGAAACTTGGATGGGAACATAGAAGGCTATTGTGGGTGACTCCAGGAGTTACATCTCTTGTATCTTGTCTTCTAACCAAGGGTGGCTGTGACCAATGGGCTGTTGAGAAATATCCTGATGTCCCATTTAGTGGGTGTGCTGAAGTCAGCAGCTTCATATGTGCGTGGGTTTGGCTCGTGATTTTGTTCTGTGGCTTCTTCCGCCATAGCCCAAAGCCCTTACACCACTCTCTGGGGCAAACAAATGGAGGATATCGCTGGGTGGAGAGCCATTAGATGAGAGAATAAAGGCAGGCATTGCCGTTTCACTGCTCCATTTTGTACAAAATCTTCCATTCCTTTCATGTGTGTCGCCTTTCATCTATAACTGCCATGCGGATTAATAGTTGCACTTTGCTATCAAAGTTTGGGCTGAAATAGTCGTATTC